TGCTGGCCACAAAAAGGAAACACACACACACACACGCACGCACAAAAATAAGAAATGCTGAATTGTAATTACCTACCGTTTCGAGGGGTCTGCTCAAAGGAAGGAGCCGGGAGAGACCCTCCCTGCAGCAGGGAAAAGGGGCTATGGATCTCACCGGACTGGAAGATGGGAAAGGCCCCTTACCCCAAAAAAGGATGTGCTCTCCCCCCCCATTACCCCAAAAAAGGATGTGCTCTCCCCCCCCCAAAGGAAATGCAGTGCAAAACCGAGAGTGCGCGGTGCTAGATTTGTTCTCCCCCCCCAAAAAATACTTTTTTTTTTTTGACTTTCCAAACACCAAAGAACGGACTGCAAACGGGAAAAGGGGGGGCAGACACCCCTGAAATGGCACATCTGATCGAAACTGTGAAAAAAATCCTGGGCACGATTCATTTGATCTACGTTAAGGAGAGGGTCCAGCCTTCCCAACTTGGAAGAGCTGGGGGGCTTCCAGCTTCCAGAATCTGGGGTGGGTGGGTGGGTTCTGGAAATTGGAAGCCCCCCCAGCTCTTCCAAGTTGGGAAGGCTGGACACCCCCCAATTTAGCAGACCTCCTGCTCTGCTAAACTATGGGGGTGCTGCCAAAGCTTTCACGCTGGGAACGGACTGGGGAGGGGGACGAGGAGGACCCTCGTGTTTGAGGAGAGCGTCGGTGGGTCAGAGAGGGGTGGGCTTCTGACCCACGTCCCCGTCCATCGAGGGGTGACTTCAGAGGTCCCACAAAAACCACAGGGCACAACGGGGACCCCCCCCTTTCAAGCCAAGGCTGCTTGAAATTGGGGAGGGGGGACGCTCGCTGAGCGCCAATGACAGCCCTCCACGTGTCTGGAGATGGGGTGGGTGGGGAGGGGGGCCCAGCTACACACACACACACACACACACAAAAAGAGGTCTATAAATCCTTCTGGGCCAAAAGGGAAACCGAGGCAGGAAAGCCGACGGGGCTTGTGAAATGCGGACCAATTTCGAAAAGCTTTGCTGCTGCTTCCTCTGCGGGAATTATTTGACTTTTCTGTCAATTATTTATCCCGGCAACTGGCAAAAGAGGAAGGGTGGCCGAGGGCAGGTTGGCGTGACTGGGATCGCGCCAAGGTCGGGGGGGGACGGGACCCAAAGCCAAAAGGCCGCCCTGGCTTCTTAAAGGACACGCTAGGGCCGTGGGCCAGGTCTTCAGGAGAAGCCCACCCACCCCCAATGAAATGCCTTTGAGTTGTGCGCCCCCTCCCTCGGATTAAACCACTGCAAGCACAGAGGTGGCTTCGGGGTTTGCATTACTTGGTGGTCTCCAGACCAGACAAAACCAGCAGGGGAAATGAAGGGCCGACGTGGGGAGTCCCCAGACGCGCGACAACTTTTACGACTTGTGGACTTCAACGCCCACAATTCCCCCCTCCCCAGCCAGCCATGGCTGGCTGGGGAGGGGGGAATTGTGGGCGTTGAAGTCCACAAGTCGTAAAAGTTGCCGTGTCTGGGGACTCCCCACGTATTGTTTGGGGGAATTTCCCCCCCGGCCCAGATTCAGAAGTTGCCAGCCCGCTCTCTCCACGCTCAACCAGGTCCGGCATTAATATCTGACCCAAAACCGTACAACGTCTGACGCAAGGTTGTGTAAAAGAGGGAGAGCCGCCGAGGCTTCCCATCCCTGCAAATTTAAGGAAAAAAACCCACAAAAAAACACAAGGAAAGCAGAACAGAAGCAAGAGGGAAGGGAGAAAAAAAACAAACAAACCACACAACAAACACAGCTGCTGGGATTTCCAAAACTCCCTATTCGAACAGTCGCCTCCCTTTCCAAGATTTGACCAAAATGTTGACCTCTAGAGGACCGGACAACTTAGAAAAGAGAGCCCAGGTTTAGAAGACAAATTTGTTCAACTGCCACGGCACCCTCTTTCGATGTGTCCCCCGCCCCGGAAAGCGACAGACTTGCTGACCAAAAAGACAATTTTTTTTTTTAAAAAAAGTTGGTTTTCCAACCGTTTTCCCCAGCGACTAAATTAACCTTCGGCAACCCCAAATTTGGTGGGGGAAAAAAACAACAACCTCTCTTTGATTTCCTCGTCTTACGGAAGGGACACAGCCTGACGGACGTCGTCAGCCGAGCATCGGATGGCAGGAAGCCGTCGCGAGAAGCAGGAAGCCTCCCCACGAGATGATGACAGCACACCCACACCAACACAACAACACAGCCGTGCCTAAGTAAGGGAGAGTCTACCGTGGACAGGGGGGGCCTCTCCGGAGACCCGCAGCTGGCCAGCCAGCCGTTCTTTGGGGCTGCCGTCCCATCACTTTTGGGGGAGCAAGGTGGGGTGGGGTAAGGGGACCTAAATGACACCCCCCCTACACACACACACACACGCAAACACAAACGCTGACCCAGAAGCCCGGCCTTTGGGGAAGGGTGGGACGCGGCCCTCTTTCTCCAAAACCAGCTCTCCAAAGGCCGTTACTCCAGCGGAGGAGACCCCCCTCCCCATTATGGGACGCCATAATGAGCATTCATTCAAGAAGACCCTTCCCATCTTTACCCCCCCCAGCCCTTTCAATGACCCCCCCTCCCTCCCCAGCCAAGTGCCAGGGCCCCAGCCCTCTGGAAGCACAGGGACCCTCTCTTTTGACTTCAAAGCCATCAAATGGGAGACTGGGGGGGGGGAGAGGGGGAAGAAAAAAAAAAACAGCCCTTGGCTTTGGGAAGGACCCATCTCGGAAGCAGATATCCGCCCGGGGAGGCTTGCCCCAGCGGTAGTGTTGCTCACCAAGCAGAGCGGGGCGGCTCCGTGAGAGCGCCACTGGAGAAAAAGAGGGCTGCGCCCCTCGCCCGGTGGGCTGCCTGCCCGTTTGGCACTGGCCCAGGCTTTGGTCCACCGGCCCAAACTGGGTTATCTCCACCTGGCCGGAGGCGTCACCAAAGGTCAGAGCGGCTTGACAGACAACCTGACATTTCAAACCTTGTAAACAACGATTATCAGTACACACACACACACACACACACACACACACACGCAAGACAGCAAACAAAATCTTTTTTAAAAATAAAAGGGGGTCGCCTTGAACAGGGATGAAGGTCAACGTGACCTCACTCAGATCCAGCTTATTGCCACGTCAGTCTTTCAGGGAAGCCACGGGAAGGAGGATCCGGAAGCGGGGAACAATTTCCTCCGAAATGGAAGGAGCAACTTGAGAAGGGCTTTTTCCCGTGGCGGGCCGTTTTAAGCTGCAAGCCAACCATGTTTCTGCCCGGCTGCACACCACCAAAAAGTGGAGAAGTTCCTGGCGGCAGGCTTAGGAAGTTGGGGAGGGGGCTTCATCCCCAGCAGGCACGGGCAGGGTCACGCGAACGTCACGCCGCGTCTCTAAATGCTAAAAGGGGGGAGAGGGGGAGAGGACGCCCGTCTACTGTCCGTATTATTTAGGGCTTTGCCTTGCCTGAAATGCCGCCGAGGCCAGCCAAGCGAGGAATATTTTACAAATATTCTCCAGGAGTTGTCCAAAGAGATCACCGCAAAAGTAGGGAGAGAGAGAGAAAGAGAGAGAAAAAAAAAAACACGTTTCCATAGGACCGAGCGCCTCTTTCGTTCCAAACTGGTCGCGTGGGAACCCGGAGCAGATGAGGTTTCTTTGAACCAACACACGGGAGGGGGCAATTTTGGCAAATCAAAAAATTAAAATAAATTTTTTAAAAAAGAGCTCCTCGAACACTGCTGGCAAATTGAAAAAACAAACAAACTAACAAACCGACAACAGAGAGGGGGTCCGTCACTCGGCCAAAAAAAAGGCCGCGGGCGCCTTTGGGACCCCTGCCGCCGCTTCTAAAACTCTAAAAATCGCCCTTTTGAACAAACCGACAGAAGACAGCGCAAAAGCCCCATTTCAGCCTATTTCCTTTAAAAAAAAAAAACCTTTAAAAAAGCCTTAACGTGCCCCCCCCCCAAACCCTCTTGTGAGACCAGATTCGGCCTTTCTTTTTTTTTTTCTTTTTACACCGTAAATACATAATAGGTACATACGTACAGACACCGACCGGTGACCTGTAGGTATGCGTGGAAAACGGACACAGCATACAATACGGTAGTCCTTAACGGTCCGCGCCGATCAAACACTGGAAAAGGACCGGGAGACGGAACCGAGAACCGGAACCGAAAGACGCCGGGGAAGCATCTTCGGCAGCACAAGTGCCAGAAATCCCGCCGGACCACCTTGACGTGCCAGAAATGCACACACGCACACACACCCCCTTCCGAGACACGGCACGGGCATTTGGCAGGTGGCAAAGCCGTCCCCTGGCAGAGGAGGGAGGGGGGGAGAAAGCCTCCGGCGCCCCCCCCGATACGGCTCGGCTGCCGGAAGCCTTCGGCGGCTGCGGCGGGCAGGTGGTGGCACAGGGCGATGGCACAGTCTTAGACACACAAACGCGCAACCCCGTGGAAGAGGCTGCAGGTCCAACGGAAATAAGCGCTGCGTCCATTCCAGGCGCGCGTCTCCCCCCCCTCCAAGTGTATTCCTTAAAGACGAGCCGAAGCCCCCCTGCCGAAGACTCTCTTGCTCTCCAACGAGGCTGGAACGAGAAGACGGAGGCCGACGTAGTCTGGGGATCAAATCCGGCATCAAGTCCTGCTTTCACTCGAAGGGGTTCCAGGCCGGCTTCGGTGCAAAAAGGGTGGGGGGAGCTGGGGGGAGGACGGCGGCCAGAGGCGAGCGCTCAGCTGAAGCCCAAAAGGAGAAACCGAGTCATGGAGGGGCGTCGGCGTCGGCAGCGTCGACAGCAGCAGCAGCAGCAGCGAGGGTGTTCCTAGCGCGTGGCCGATTCCCTAAGGCAGTGCACTCCGGGGCGAAACGGGAGAGTAAGGCAGCGGCCGCAGTTCGGGGAGGGGGGGCGGGTGCCCCCTCTCCTAACCCCAGAGAGGCGGGGGGTGCCGGTTCCCCAAAGAGAAGCGGGTGGGTTCTGCTCCCGGGGCCGAGGGTCACGTGGCCACCGCCTCCAGGTAGCTCTGCAGCTTGCGGACGGTGGTCTCGTCCAGGGAGAAGAGGTCAAAGTCGAAGGTGGTGTTGGTGACGTTGAAGTGGCCCGTCTCCTCGATCAGGTTGACGATCTGGGACAGAGGGGGAGGGGAGGGTTAGGGTTAAGGCTCCGCCCCCACGCCCGACGGGCACGCCTCCGACTTGCCCCCCCCTTCGCTTAGGGACCCGGGCGAAGGTAACACGGCACGGGGAGAGGTTGACTGGGGAGCGTTTTTCCACACTTAGGATTGTGGGGGGGGGAGAAGGGGTGTCCTGGGTGCTCTCTGAAGGAAGGGAGAGAGAAGGGGAAGGGAGGAAGGGAAGGAAGGAAGAAAGGAAGGGAGGGAGAAAGGAAGAAAGAGAGAAAAGAAAGAAGGCGAAAAGGAAAGGAAGAAAGGAAAGAAGAGAAAGGAAAGGAAAAGAAAGGAAGGAGAAAGGAAAGGAAAGGAAGAAAGGAAAGAAGAGAAAGGAAAGGAAAGGAAAGGAAAAGAAAGGAAGGAGAAAGGAAAGGAAAGAAGAGAAAGGAAAGGAAGAAAGGAAAGAAGAGGAAAGGAAAGGAAAAGAAAAGAAAGGAAAGGAAGAAAGGAAAGAAGAGGAAAGGAAAAGAAAAAGGAAGGAGAAAGGAAAGGAAAGGAAAAGAAAGGAAGGAGAAAGGAAAGGAAGGAGAAAGGAAAGGAGGAAAGGAAAGGAAAAGAAAAGAAAGGAAAGAGAAAGGAAAGGAGAAAGGAAAGGAAAGGAAGAAAGAAGAGGAAAGGAAAGGAAAAGAAAGGAAGAAGAAAGGAAAGGAAGAAAGGAAAGAAGAGGAAAGGAAAAGAAAAAGGAAGGAGAAAGGAAAGGAAAAGGAAAGAAGGGCCGTGGTGGCGCAGTGGTTAGAATGCGGCATTGCAGGCTGACTCTGCCCACTGCCAGGAGTTCGATCCTGACCCTCTCAAGGTCGACTCAGCCTTCCGTCCTTCCGAGGTCGGTGAAATGAGGACCCAGACTGTTGGGGGGCAAAGAGGCCGACTCTGTAAACCGCTTAGAGGGGGCGGTGAAAGCGCTGTGAAGCGGGATATAAGTCTTTAAAGTGCTAGGGTTGTTGCTAAACGATTTGCAGCGTCCATCTTACCACTGCGCCCCCAGGGCTCTGCTTTTGGGATGCTGCCTGCAACCTTTGGGCCAGGCAATTCTAAAAATGTATTCCCCCCCCCTTCTGATTGACAGGACTCTGTCACTTCAAAAAGCCAAGATAGGATCCTGGCCTGCCTCATCTGGCAGAGCCCCCCCCCAGACCCACTCCTCACCTGCTGTAGCACGTTACGTTCTCGTAGAGCCATCAGCCGCCGGTGAAGCTCCACCAACTCATCCGTGTAGGCCTGGGGGGGGGGGAGGAGAGAAGACCAGTTAGGTGGCTTTAACTGGGGGGTCCGTTGGTGATCTCTCAGTTTGATTTCTGGCAAACGTTTCATCAGCCAAACCAGATGACGTCATCACTCCTAACCTGATGAGGTTACCTAGTTGGGTCATGAAACATCTGCAAGAAAAGCACCAAGCTCAGAGGGCACCAAGGACCCCTCACAGTTCGATCCTGGGCCACAAATATTCTCTTTTATTGGCTCCACCTGCTTCGGTCCCATGGCTTTCGTGAAATGAGGGCAAGGCCCACATTCGACAAGGACAGCCTCTGGTATTGGATTGGAGAATGGAATGGAAACAGAACAATAGAATAGAGAATAAAACAGAGAATAGAATACAATAACAGAATAGAGAATAGAACAGAGAAAGAATAGAGAATAGAACAGAGAATAGAATAGAGAATAGAACAGAGAATAGAATAATAGAATAGAGAATAGAACAGAGAAAGAATAGAGAATAGAACATAGAATAGAATATAGAACAGAGAACAGAATAAAGAACAGAGAATAGAATAGAATAATAGAATGGAAAATAGAATGAATAGAGAATAGAATAGAATAAATGGAATAGAATAGAATAGAATAGAATAGAGAATAGAACAGAGAATAGAATTGAATAAAATAGAGAACAGAACAGAGAATAAAATAGAGAACAGAATAGAATAGAGAACAGACTAGAATGGAAGAATAGAATAGAATAAATGGAATAGAATAGAGAATAGAACAGAGAATACAATAATAGAGAATAGAACAGAGAAAGAATAGAGAATAGAACATAGAATAGAATAGAGAATAGAATAGAACAGAGAATAGAATAAAGAACAGAGAATAGAATAGAATAATAGAATGGAAAATAGAATGAATAGAGAATAGAATAGAAT